GATAGATCAAAATTGACTGCCCCGCGTCATATGTCACGTGAGCCTATATTTGTTGAAAAATGAAAGAGATAGTGACACTTTTTAATCTTAAGTTAATACCAATATTACAAACACATATCTATTTTTTTCATTAAATATTTATTTCTTCATTATACATAGATTTGTTTTACACTGCATTGATTTATTTTTGCAAAACCTTTGCTATTAGATCTTTAAGTTTCAAAAATGACTGTCACTACAATGGCAATATTGGAGAAAAGAGATAAAATCTATAATTGCTTGAATTTATCTGAAATCCCTTGATAATTCATAACACATCATAAACTACATTAGCAAACACCTGTAGGGTGCAATTGAAGATGTATCACTTGCAAAACAATATTATCAAAGGCATTAACATGCAAAATGTTAACTTATTTGTTACAGACACTAACACCAACCGCCAAACACAAACTGCCAAATGCTGAACCCAGTCCATAAATAAGTTGGGAGACCATAACATGTAGGTTTGAATTTTAAAAACAGCATGACTTATTGATCACCCCTTATTTTCTAAATGTCATACTACTCCAATTCGAGTGCAACCACCACAGCTAAAATTAAGTCTAATATTAGAACTTTCTTGTTTTTAATAAAGATAGATGAAAAGTATATGTTATATCTATATCGAGAACAGTTTTACCTCTGCAGTCTGCATTGACTAAGTCTACACTATTGCTTCTTAATACGGTTAACTTTATAATCTGAACGCTTCTGGAACTGGCTAAATGTATTTGAATTCATGTTTTTTAACATGGCAGTCAATGGGGGAATATGGGGGGAGATGTTCAAATTAGATATACAGGTTTTAGGTACATAATACGAGGGGTGATCCAAAAGTAAAGATGATATGTAAAGATGATGATGGCAGATGACACTCAGATTGAAAATCGGATATTCTCTCATATCATGACTGGTGTTAGGTTGTGCACCCACACCTGAAGTATTTGCCATATTATAACAGTTGTGACGTGATTTGCTATATATTTAAATACTGTTCCGGGTGGCAGGCACCCGGTATTTCAAAGTTGTTAAGATGTTGATCTTTATTATCTGAAAGTTTCATGTAATTGAAAGGTAATTTGATGTAATTGCCTAGGCTAGTACAGTATGAAAGGTGTATTACAGGGTCGCTTGAAATAGGATAAAATAGTTATGAGTATGTGATGGTCGGTTTTGGTTATGGGGTATATCCCTAGGGAAATATGATATCTTACCTCAGACCCCCTAGGCCCTCTGTAAGTTATCTATTTTTCCCTAGGGATATACCCAATATCCAAAACCTCCCATAACACAACCCTTATTGATCTGTTCCTGTTTTTAATAACAATCATTAAGTCGAGGCTATGATCTTCAGTAAGACATTACAACTAGTCATGATGGGATATCTTAGTTTTCCTAAAATCAACCAATGTTTCACCCTGAAGTAACGACCTTCATATTTGAACCTGAGCATCCACAGTTAGCAGGCCGTCCAACTGTCGCGCAATTTGGGTATTTGTCACGCATTTGCTGAGAAATTTGAAGTCACACCAGTTTTTTTCATGACAGAATATGTCACGCAAATATGCATTTTACCTGATTATTGTCAGGCAAAAATATTCAGCAGAAAAACTTCTAAAAATTGATCGGCGATACAGCAAAAAAACTAGCACCATTCGGACTTTTCATGCGGATATCGCATATTTTCCTTGACATATTTCGTACCTACCCCCTGTGTGCCAAGGTGTTCAGATTTGGACCATGGTGTCCACAATTTGAAGAAAGGTGTTCAATATTTGTAAGTCACTCATGTTAGGTGTTCCCAGTTGACAGGCCTGAGTTAGGCTCACATGAAAACTAATTGTATTACCAATAGTTATGGGATTAAGAAAGGTTTCGAGAATCAGCAGCTGTGGAAAAAATTTTTTTGAGTGTCACGCAAGGATCAAGAGGTCATGAAAGTAATTTCAGAAAATTGTTTTGATAGCTATTTCCAAAAAAGTATACACATCTTTCAGTCTTTATCATGAATATTCAGATTTGGCAGTCAAAGAAGACAGAGATAACATCCTAAAATGAAATAAATCAAATTAATTCACACCTCAATGTTGCTATTCTGGCCAGACAATACTGCGATTGTAAGACCAGTGTCTGGTATTTAAAGAAAATTTGACTTTATGACGTCAAAATCTGTAATTTCACTGAAACTGGACGAACTTGGGAAATGGCCATGACAGGTCAAATAGGCATTATGAATATGCATAAAATGAATGTGGATTTGACTCAATACAAATGGCAGTTTTAATTTGTGCAGCCGATGTTGACGGATGGACAGACAAAAGGACGGATGGACCAACAGGCGATCACATAGGTTCACTGTGTAAGCCAAAAATGGTGGTATTTTGCTCTAATGATAAGGTAATCAACACTATGACTCATTCCAATTTGTTTCATCAGCTAAGTCTGCCAAGATGCCATTCAACTAGACGTCATTGAAAATATTGATTGCGGTCTCAGTATTCTTATATAACTGTCACCACCATGACTTACTTTAATGTAACATGAAGTCTTAATATGGCTATATTATGAAGCTTCTTGTTACCTATTACCTACGCAATCACAAACTTCATGGCAACAAAAAGATGAAAATTTTCAATCACATATCTAATATTTAACAAAATCAGTATTAAAAGCAGCAATAATTGCCATGGTGCTGAGCTAACAATCCTGGGTATATGGTAAAAAGAAAGCTTTGGACTTCGCTATGACATTTTTATATATGCAAGCAGAATTTGTGTATAAAATAAAATCGAAAACAAAAAACTCATATCCAGGAAGTTCATCCATTTTGTTACATTGACATTCCATCAAAGTAACTAGTTGTGAAACAGTGATAAAGAAGATGCTAAACTAAACAACCTCAATAGCTCAATGTTCCATCAAAGTAACTAGTTGTTGAATAGTGATAAAGAAGATGCTAAACTAAACAACCTCAATACCTCAATGTTCCATCAAAGTAACTAGTTGTTGAATAGTGATAAAGAAGATGCTAAACTAAACAACCTCAATACCTCAATGTTCCATCAAAGTAACTAGTTGATGAACAGTGATAAAGAAGATGCTAAACTAAACAACCTCAATAGCTCAATGTTCCATCAAAGTAACTAGTTGTTGAATAGTGATAAAAAAGATGCTAAACTAAACAACCTCAATACCTCAATGTTCCATCAAAGTAACTAGTCGTTGAACAGTGATAAAGAAGATGCTAAACTAAATAACCTCAATACCTCAATGTTCCATCAAAGTAACTAGTTGTTGAATAGTGATAAAGAAGATGATAAACTAAACAACCTCAATACCTCAATGTTCCATCAAAGTAACTAGTTGATGAACAGTGATAAAGAAGATGCTAAACTAAACAACCTCAATAGCTCAGTGTTCCATCAAAGTAACTAGTTGTTGAATAGTGATAAAGAAGATGCTAAACTAAACAACCTCAATACCTCAATGTTCCATCAAAGTAACTAGTCGTTGAACAGTGATAAAGAAGATGCTAAACTAAATAACCTCAATACCTCAATGTTCCATCAAAGTAACTAGTTGTTGAATAGTGATAAAGAAGATGATAAACTAAACAACCTCAATACCTCAATGTTCCATCAAAGTAACTAGTTGATGAACAGTGATAAAGAAGATGCTAAACTAAACAACCTCAATACCTCAATGTTCCATCAAAGTAACTAGTTGATGAACAGTGATAAAGAAGATGCTAAACTAAACAACCTCAATACCTCAATGTTCCATCAAAGTAATTAGTTGCGGAACAGTGATAAAGAAGATGCTAAACTAAACAACCTCAATACCTCAATGTTCCATCAAAGTAACTCGTTGTGGAACAGTGATAAAGAAGATGCTAAACTAAACAACCTCAATACATCAATGTTCTATCAAAGTAACTAGTTGTGGAACAGTGATAAAGAAGATGCTAAACTAAACAACCTCAATACATCAATGTTCTATCAAAGTAACTAGTTGTGGAACAGTGATAAAGAAGATTTTAAACTAAGCAACCTCATCATAGTTAATACAAGTCCAGAACTTCCTCTATATTTCGTATTGAAGTATTTGAAAATGGAAAAGTAACATTGTGTCAAAATTTCATGAAGAATAATAGGGACTTCTAAATACTACTATTATATGTACTATTAAATTCACGAACACCCTGTGATTCAATAAAATATCATGTAAAGTTTTAAGTGCTTATTTTTTGGATAGTGCTAACTTTACATGTAATAACATGATTGATAGAAAAAATCGGTTCTCTTTTATATGGAACACCTTTGGTACCTCTAAAAAGTTCCACTTGGGAGGTTCACTCAACATTAAGTCGTTGTTCTTGTGACTCTGAAAAATGTTCTACTAACAGAGGTGTTCCTCTCTAGAGGTCTTCTACTTTACAGGTTTCACTGTATTAGAAATAAACATCATCCTACTGAAACAAGGTTCAGACACTGACATCAACATTTACATAACATATAACAAGTGGTCTTTCTAAGAGTAATGCTGAGTTCATACAAGGGTAGATCCAGAAGTTCTGATAAAAATACAGTAACCTAAAAGTTTATCATTTGCTTTCTCCATATTTCAGAGTAATTGGGTCATTTATCTCCTCATAAGTTATAAAAATATAAATGCTGGTAAGTAATATTTCTGGTTGCAATTATAACCACGATTATGCCACAGCAGGACAGGCTAATTTTTGTAAAGTTTAGAATTTGTTTTCTTTTTCGAAACTCCATTGCAAGATTGTTTTACAAATGGCTGTTTCAATTATAGTAATTGCTATCTTCATGCCCTATTCTAATAAACAAGCATCTTTGTTTACTCGGCTCCCGTCGGTCGAGAAAAGTGTAATTTTATAAATTTCTGTTAATAATTTGTTCTGAAAATTCCATGCTTTATAGGCATATAAATTATGTACATTGAGTTAAAATTGTGATAACCTTTACTCAGGAAAAAGACACAGTGTTTTTATCATAACTTCTGGATCACTCTGTGTATCTAAAAAATAGCAGAACTTTGTTTTGGCTTACAATTATTTAAAAAATGATGCCAAACACACACTTTTTTACTTCACTTCATTATATTGACATTTTGCATCATTTCAGCAATGGTGATTAATACTGTCACAATAAAATATAATGACACTGTTATAAATCTGACATCATACAACCTATAGCACTAAACTGACATCAAATCAACAATGATATCATATAACATTTTGGTATTCTTGAAATTCACATCATACAGTATATTGGGCTATCGACACTGTCCACTATGTTGACATCATATAATATATTGTCATTCAGATTCCTATACTGACATCATGCAGTATGTGTGCACTGTTCATTATACTGACATTTTGAAGAGAGTCAAGTTTTACTGTTATCTAAAGGTGACATCTCTGGCGTTGACCTGCAAAGTAGAACACAAATAAGAAAGAATTTAATAATCTCTTGATAGGAAAGCACACACAAATGAGAGTAAAAAAAATGCAGTGTTTTACCCAGGATTTGGGGAACAAAAGTGGGAACAAAATTCCAAATTTCGACCAAAGAATGGGAATCTGACAAATTGTCAATTTAATGGCCATCTTTTGAATGAATAGATATACATACTTTCATCTACAAAACGACATAAACACAACATGTTTAGGTCTCTCAATATTGTAATTGTAATTGGTTGATTTTAAAAAAGTATCTTGTTAATGAAATAAAAGGTTTTTCTTGATTTTTATCTTTTTTGGGGGGATTTTGTTTTAATTTTTTGAATACTTTTTTAAAATCAACTAAAAATTCCTTTGTATAACTTTAATATTGAGAGGTCTAAAAACATGTTGTATGCTATTTTGTTCCAACAAGGTTCGGAAAAACACTTTATTTCATTCTCAAGAATTGGTAGAAAGGAGCAAAAACAATTGCACTAAAAAAACAAAAAATGTTAACAAAAACAGTTATATAAAATATTTCTAAATAATTTTCGCATTAAATTGTTGTCAATAAGTCAACATTATATAAAATACCATGTTTTTTTACAGAATGTTTCCAATGATTGGTTTAAGAGGAAAACATTGTTGAATTCAGTTCTCCATATCTATACCAATCCTTTTGTCAAAATATTACTATTTTCATGATTTTTCTCATTCTTAAGTGGGTGCAAATGAACTTATAGGTGGGTGCAAGTCTACTTTCAAAATATCAAGTGCAGTGATCTCCCCAGGATTTTTCCTCAGGTGGGTGCAAAATTCTCATTTTCACAATTCAGACCAAAATTGGTCAAAATATGCCAATTTTCTTATTTTCAAGTGGGTGCAAATGGATTTTTAGGTGAATGCAAGACTATTTTCAAAATCCCAGTTGGGTGCTGCGCCACTTGGTTTAATGCTGGGGAGATCACTGACATGAGAGAATATCAGGAGAATTTTTCTTCTTAAGATACAAAACTGAATCAAAAACTGCCAGAAGATTGCTCAAAAAAGAGAATTTAAAATACCAGGAGAAAATTAGTTGGCTAGTGTTACAAAGTCATCGATTTCTATATGAAACTTATGCTATAACAATATCCGTTCTGATGAACTGATACAAGTTCACACTCTATTTATCCAAGTGCCGCAAAAAGACCTGTAAGTAAAATGATGTGTTATGCTTTTAATTCTGTTATTCTGTGGAAAGTGACATTATGCCATCTGAGAACAAGAGACAATGGGTGAAAGAAATTGCATCCTTGAAGGGAGTATTAAGATGATTGTGTATTTTTATTACAAAAAACACAAACATGTACAACAATATGTTCCCACTAATGAGTGATCCTATATCAATCTACCTCACCTTATAATTTACCAAGCATGCCTGAAAACTAATCAATTGTAGATTGTCATACTAGTAAACACCCCTGGAATATATTACTCCAGAAAATGGTTTGGCTAAAAATATGAAGACAAGACTTACTTTCTGGAAGACAAATTTTCAGGAAGAAAATCCAAAATGGCTGACTTAAAATTTAACCAGCATGGCTAAAATCTAATCAGTTCTTAATTTTCATACAAAGAAACGTCCTTGATATAAAAATGAAATCAATTCCTGATATGGAGCGTTGGCACAATAAATTGGAATGCCAGCCTGCCACCTGCCTGGGAAACTGATTAATATATTATACCACTTGCGCGATAAAAATAAAATTAGAGATAATAAAAAAACAGGCAAAAGACTTATCTTCAATTCAATAATGAGGTTCTATAAAATGGAATGAGTTTCTTCAATGACTGACTTAATTTCTAATTTTTGGGCTCATTTATTTTTTAAATTCCAAATGGTTCATAAACTATTCCGACTGAATTACAGATTAGTATTGAGTTCAATATTTTCTTATATTTTTCTTATATTTTCTTATATTTTAAAACCTAACAATTGGGAAAGGTGTGGAATTACCCCTCCCTATCGGTATTTCGTAAAATCTATGTTGTAATTATGATTAGGCGACCAAAGACGAGAATGAACCTAGCTGCCAGTAATCTACTATAACAGCCGTACAATTAACTCACTCAAAATCCAACACATGCATAAAACAGCATGCCAACCTGATTGGGAACTAGGTTTATTACATAATCGAAAAAATTTATGCAATTTACATCAATTCATGATCTACAGGTTGGGCCATAAAAGGTGCACAATTCTTCAATATAAGATAACATACATGAATGTATAATGCTAAATAATATTGATGATTGGTAGGATTTAGTGGGCTTTCACAAGATTTATTCATATATCATATCTGTACATAACTTTTATGCTGTACATAGATACTAGTATTCCGCAATTGAAAAGGATGGGTATCGATATGGCGAACTTTTTGAACACACGTTTCTCTTAAACCAGTCATCAAAAAATTCTGAAAATGTGTCTATTTAATGGTCCTCTTTTGAATGGTAACTATATAATTTGAAAATATATATATATACTTTCATCTATATTGTTTTAGAAAACACATCAAACACTTGTTTTGTTCTTGGTATCATGTTTCCAGAGTGAAATGAAACATCTTTCCGAACCTCATTGGAACAAAACGACATAAACACAACATGTTTAGGTCTCTCAATATTGTAATTGTACAATGGACATTTAGGTTGTTTTTAAAAAAGTATCTTGTTTATCTTAATTTTTATCTATTTTGGGGGATTTTGTTTTAATTTTTTGAATACTTTTTTAAAATCAACCAAAAATTCCTTTGTATAACTATAATATTGAGAGGTCTAAAAATGTTGTATATGCTATTTTGTTCCAACAAGGTTCGGAAAGACATTTTATTTCATTCTCAAGAATTGGTACAAAGGAGCAAAAACAATTGCACTAAAAAAAAAAATAGAACACAAATGTGTACAAAATGTCCCCACCAATGGGTGATCCCGTCAAATGGTTATCCTGAAAATGAGTAGACAAGACTTTCCCGACACAATTTGAGGACGGGAAATCCAAATGGCCACCTTAAATTTTAACCAGAATGCCATAAAATTAGTCAATTCTAGATTTTCATACTATGAACCACCCCAGAAAATTTGAAATTGATCCGTCAAACAGTTAACCAGAAAACAAGATTTAAGGATGGAAAATCCAAAATGGCTGCCTTGACATTTACCCAGAATGTCAAAAAACAAATCAGTTCTAGATTTTCATACTAAGAACCATCCCTGAAAATTTGAAATTGATCTACCAAATGGTTCACCTGAAAATGTGTAGACAAGACTTTACTGACAAGATTTTAGAATGGTAAATCCAAAATGGCTGCCTTGACATTTACCCAAAATGCCAAAAAACTAGGGGTGGGACGGATAACCGAAATACCGAAAAACCGCGGTTCATAGCCTTCGGATCGGTTTTCGGATCACGGCCCTACTTTCGGATCAGCTTTTCGGATCGTTTTCGGATTAATATTTCATTGGTCAAGTATCAATAAAACAGTTAAAAACACTGTTTTACAGCAACATTTTTGATATTCCTAGTCCCTACCTTGTCTGTCTTGTCTGTTGCTAGCTCACTCGTTTACTAGATTCGTTTCGTATCCGCGTATTCGTATCCCTCAGTAATCAATCATGTGGTCCCTGGTACTATATTCTTTACTCGTGTATTCTAAATTATATGTATTGTTCATGAAATACTATAACATAAAATTCCATCTATAAAATATTGTTATAACGTGGCATAATTGATACAAAGATTTGCGCAAATTTATATTTGCGCAGGTTCGATATAGGGTATTATTTTGTGCGCACCCACAATACATTCAAATATGGCGTCTGGATCTCAAATTCCCGTTTTCCCAAAAGAAATGAAGATTAAGAAAGTGACAGTCAGCAGTGAAGTCAGAGACAAAGCAGTTTATCATGTCAGTCATTATAAATCCTTAAAATGAATGAACCGAACCGAAAAAACCGAACCGACGGCTGATGATCCGAAAAACCGAACCGAACCATCCCATCCCTACAAAAAACTAATCAGTTCTAGATTTTCATACTAAGAATCATCCCTGAAAATTTGAAATTGATCTACCAAACGGTTCACCTGAAAACGCGTAGACAAGACTTTACTGACAAGATTTTAGGACGGAAAATCCAAAATGGCTGCCTTGACATTTACCCAGAATGCCAAAAAACTAATCAGATCTAGATTTTCATACTAAAAATCATCCCTGAAAATTTGAAATTGATCTACCAAACGGTTCACCTGAAAACGCGTAGACAAGACTTTACTGACAAGATTTTAGGATGGAAAATCCAAAATGGCCACCTTGACATTTATCCAGAATGCCAAAAAAAATCAGATCTAGATTTTTGTACTAAGAATCATCCCTGAAAATTTGAAATTGATCTACCAAACGGTTCACCTGAAAACGCGTAGACAAGACTTTACTGACAAGATTTTAGGACGGAAAATCCAAAATGGCCACCTTGACATTTATCCAGAATGCCAAAAAACAAATCAGATCTAGGTTTTTGTACTAAGAATCATCCCTGATTTCTTTTTACAAAATTATCACATATAACTACCATTAACAATAACATAGGCTTTTACAACAAAGTACACCTGAAATTATTTATAAAGCTACAAAATAGTTGAAGTATGAAAACTCAAAAACACCATTCAATATGATACAAAGTATTATCGCACGCTAACTTTTCTTAAGACATTAAAAATGGCTGCCATGACTGAGCTAACAGGTCCAAAACCTAATCAGATGTAGAATGAAGTAAGCTGAACAAGATGTTAAAGTTTGAAAAGCAACTGTGAAGCTGTTTTTCTTAAAGTTTGCGGACAAGGATTTTAGCATTTGACTTCAAAATGGCCGACAGGAAGTAGGTATCGAGTTAAAAAATTTCCATCCACATCTGTATGCACTCATAAGTTATCCCTGAAAATTTGAAGGTGATATTTGTAGCGGTTTTGGAGAAAACTGCCGGACAATTTGAAGGTGATATTTGTAGCGGTTTTGGAGAAAACTGCCAGACGTACAGACGGACAGACAGACAACCAGACAGACAGACGGACGCGCCTAGGCCGACAATATGGCCCCACACTATGTGGTGGGGACATAAAAAACAGTTATATGAAATATTTCTATATAATTTTTGCATTAAATTGTTGTCAATCAGTCGACATTACATAAAATACCGTGTTTTTTTACAGAATGTTTTCAACTTGTCCAAAATTCTATGATACACCAGGAAAATGTTAGTATGCTCTATTGAAAAGTCACAATCTTGATAAAACATGAAAAATAGTTAAAAATTAAGACTTAACCTAAATGATGGAAATTCACAAATTCTCTACAATTTCGATAGCTGTTTATGGCGGTAAATACACCATGTCCAAAGGGTACAATATAGAACAACACTGATGTGATTTATAGACTCCTTAGACAGCCAACTAATACTGTAGTCACTGAATAAGATGCCTTAATGTTCATAATAATAGCTTCCATTGTTGAATTATGATTCCTATACTTAGTTTTCGTCTCTGGTTACACAGTGATAATTAGCATGAACATGATGTCAATGATATAGAACAATCCTAATCAAATATTACATCAAGGTTTGATTCTGCAAACAACAGAGGGCTCTTTTAAAGAAGCTTAGGCTATCAAGCCCTTTAATAAAGGATAATGGATCATGGATCATTTTACATAACTAGCATGCTGACATGAGGAATAGTAGACTTTCAATTCTCAATAGAGTCACATGCTATTTTTCAAATATCAATCACTCCTTCCCCACATTGTATGCATCTTTCAGTTTTGCACAAAGAGTACACTAATATATGTACAGTGGGGGACAAAAATAAAACTCAACGTTCACAAGTTGTCACAATGAGCTTATTTCCAAGTTTCGTGTCTCAAACTCTCCCGAGCGGTAGAAAAATAATTCCCGTTCACTAAAGTAGCACAATAAATGAATCCAAAGCTTCATACCTGCAAATAATGGATAAATCCCCACCAAATCGAATGAATGTTTTCATGAATCGCCATGTTTGTTATCCAAGGACGGCTGACTCCCAGAATGCAACATCAGTTAACTGTATTTACTCATGACAGGTTTCAAAATGTCGGAACAGCATTTTGAAAGCTGGCACGTGTTATGTTGCATTCTGGGAGCCAATCCTCTGTTCCGGCGCAATCGGGCGACAAAATCACCTCAACATTTGAAGAGTCGGTATAACATGTGAATATCCAATTCAACTTTTGAAGTTCTTATTTGTCATTAGGGACACAAATTCCACTATATTTGGACTTACTAAGACAGAGAAAATAGAGCACTGAATACACTGAGGTAAGAATTTATTACATGTGCGACAGCATGTAATTTTCATAGCTTTTGCAATTCTTTATGATCCCCACTGTAAGAGTATGAATAATATTTCATTTTGTAAAATGCATAAAAAACGGGAAATAAAATAAAACACTGAAATGTAATTTTAATTAACTAGATTTCATCTATGACTTTGTTACGTTCGTTAAAATTACAAAATAACAAAGTAGTTGCCAAACTTTTAGAGGGGAGTGTACATTAGAATAATATGTGACAACACCTCTAAATAAGATTCCACACATGTGAGACAAATTAATAAGGGGATGTGTCAAAACATCTAGATTAGATCCTGCAGCATATAGGAACTATTGAAGGGTGCTTCTTTATCGAGTTCACTTAAAAGAAAGAGGCCTCAGGCCCATGGCCAGTTTTTACCATTTGGGATTGCAAAGAATTCCAGGGCAGGGTCCACATTTGACAACTTTGACCCAAAATATTTGAAAGTGCTCAGGATGGTGAAAAATGCATGATTTTGACCCCCCGAGCCCTCCTGGCTACAGGCCTGGGCCTGAAATAATAAGGTTGTCTCAGATCTGTCAAAAATAAAATGTATGTTCTTTAATATCATTGAATTAATCAATTGATTGATCCAGTGATGCACATAAATAAAATATAATTACCTATTCTTGCAAGGAGGATTGGCTCCCAGAGTGCAACATCGATATTCTGTCCCATGTATGGGCATGTCGTGATACAAGATTCGAATTCAAACAACCGGCATTTTGTTCACTTCAACATTTGGATCGTGAATTCCAAAACTCACAAGAAATGATCGAGATATTGGTTAAAATCTTTTAAACTGTTATTTTGAATTTATAGTCAGTTTTAATTTTGACATTTCAACGTTTTCATTGTTGGGAAATATCGAGTTTCGATCCTAGGAACGAATCTTCCTTGTATTTTTGATGCAATATAAAATTAAAGTGAACAAAAAATGACAATCTTATTATACAAACAATGTAACTGGAAATCTTGATCTTCAAAAAATTACTCTAAAAATAAAGATAAGAAGGACAAATGTTGAGGGGTTATGGATCAAAAGGTCAAATGCCAATGTTTTATGAAATAGAAAGATTAGACACTCTCCTACCCTTCTTCATTCAACTTAAAGCCATCAGAACATTAATGATAACAACAGATTAGTAAATGAACAGTATCTAAAAGCTTTCTAGCTAAACTAAAGTCAACTACCTTCATATAAAATAATATAAATAGTACAATAATATAACGTCATTTCGAAGGGCAATATAGTAGAAATGACGTTATTAGTATTATTACCACCGTCAATGACCAGGACTGAAACAGCAAGAAAATCTTACGCACTGAACGATATCTAATTTCCCGGGAAAAATTGCCGATCATTAATTGCATTCTTGACCGGCTATATTGACCGCCACTATGACGTCACATATTGCTCCATCAGTATATATCTATTGCTCAGGTCGATATAGTAAAATGAATGCCTTCTAAATTAGCACCAAAACCCCTAGAACTGGCCTGGCAAGGTGGAAATAATATGTTATCCTGTCACTAATCTCAACTGTTCATACTTACAATAGAGCTTGCCTTATTCCACCAGATCTACTGCGAGGGGGTAACTAAAATGTGAGTTTATATATTTCATTTTAGGAAATCAATCATATATGTTTAACTTGTCCCTAAGAATGCCCAATAATATATTAAGTATCTTATCTTAATCCCCATGGTCTGATATTCAAAATTAATTGGAAATTAATCCATTAATTGATTTGAAATTAATTAAATTGGAAAAGGACCATTTATTTAAAGGTGTTCCACACTGTAATGAATTGCTAGTAATCCAGACAGTTAGAGCACAGAAATACTAAAGGCAGAATCAGATGTATAGGGTTGACAAAATTACAAGCAACGTGTACAATTCATCTGTCAATCTATTCCTTACAATCTCAAATACAATATCTTTTTTTGTTTTTTTTGTATGTGCTATCCTTGAGAGGATTTAACACCAGGCTTCTAGTGGATCTCTAGAAAGAGCTCCAATAAAAATAGAATACAGAAAGACTCAAATCGCAGAACAACATTCTCCTTTGGGGTAGTTAGTTATACAAAATTTGGTGATCAAAGGCTTTAATGGTATTTGACAGATGGACAGCTAGGCCACCACACATTTATAGTAGACTTCTATATAAAATTTATACAAAGACACAGGGTGAACATTGAACAATTCCGAACCCTCAAATTTTACTACGCAAACCTTAACTACTTACACTAATATTGCCACTATGTGCTAACATCCACCATTGAATCTATCTATGGCCAACTTCCCGGGAATTTCTTGAGCATATTACACTGTGCACCCCCGCACAAATGCCCGGATATTCCTCAATTATTCCGCCATTTTCCTTCTGTAAAGACGGAAATTTTAGAATCGCAATAAATTTACAAATAACTTGTGACTATGGACACGGAACTGGGAAGTTAGTTGTTCTACAGGTTCATCAGTTACAAATGAAAGTAAGAGGACGAGGAAAATAGATCATATGGAACTATAAGACAAGTTTTCAAGGTTTTTTCTTTGGGTTGTTAGTCCACAAAGAAAACATCTGATCTATAAAATGTCGAAGATCTTACCTCGTTCGTTTTATCTTTGCTTGCTCCATATAGGGTCTTCAGTCCCGACATGAGATTATAGTAAGCATATGGAAAAGGTCTCTAGTGTCAATTGACCTTTTTTCCAGACAATTTGTCATATTAAATGACAATTTCTCTGGGGTCATTAGACCATCAGAACACATCATGTACAGAGAACGAAATAGTACATGTTCTTCTCTGTGTTATGTTACATGTGAGAGGTTTTCAATCCAGATAAGAAAGTAAGGAAGCCCGAAGAAGGTAGACACTGTGTTTATGCCTCGCAGTACCTTGCCTTACACTGAGGTGTTTCTTTTGGTTGTCAGTCCATAAGAAAACATTATCTGTTCAAGTTTACACAGCTCTCAATTTTTCGTCTCTGTATTCATCACATAAACGTGTTCAGTTCCAGATGAATATGAGAAATTTGAAAAATATCTATATCTGAAGATGGCTTCAGACAGTCAGAGGTGTTTTTGGTTGTCAGTCCACAATGAAAACACATACGTGTTCAGGAGAACGCAGACGAAATGGCTTCTTTACTGCTCATGTGTTTTTTGGTTGTAAGTCCACAATGAAAACACATACGTGTTCATAAGAAGTTATCACCTCTTTTCTTCATGCACAGTTTATAAAAGGACTCCAGTCCCGATATGAATTATGTAATAAACATGAAGAAATAACTACACCAGTAAATTTGTCTTCCAGGATTTGACATGTGTCATGCATGGACTGCATGATCCTAGGATGAAGAAGATATTTCTTCATCTTACAGTAGCGTGATCACAATAAGATGTTCAGATGAAGACACTTGGTTCACATACATTTAAATGTATTTAGAAAATAACACCGTATGTTGTAAAATCTGGTGTAGTATTCATGTAATGTTGCATACATAGAACACGTATGCTGACCACAGCTGTATAATTGGTTTATTTAGTCCATTCAGTTTTATACTAGTTCTGCGCAGCAGGATAAGTTTGTCACTTATCCATTTGGTTCAGTTATTTCTGGACTGAGTTGTTTGTCTACTGTTCAGAAAGAGGATAGGCTAAAGATTAACAAGAGTAACTGTAAGATTAACAGTAGGTCTACTGTGAAGTCGTCATCTTCTTCACAGAAAAGACCAATATAGCATTTTTAGCCTACTCATCTTCCAAGTAGATGTAAAATCTTTTCGAATCAGAGACCTATAAGTTATGGTCTCTGATTGAGCGTTTCTGTTTTCTCCAAGTACTTGTACATGTTGCTATTAATATATGCTGAAGAAAACGATTCATGGATGCTCACAATCATCCTGTTATTGGTTGATTCAGTCTCTTCAACAAAGAAGTAGAAGGTGACTTAGATTGTTTTAGTTTTTGAGTCTCTAGACTAGGCCTATCCTTCTAGCCATATTAGCCAACAACTGAACAACACATTGTCAAGTACTTATTCATATAAGAAGTGTTGTAAGCGTTGACAAATGACAATGTCATGAACTTGTCATTTCTGACTGAAATTTTTTTTCTCAGGAATCATTTCTGAATACTCCTATTTAGCAGTTTAGACTCTATTCCTGGAATATTTACATTCAGAATTGAGTTGGCGGAAGTACCTTCGACATAGGTTACTTTCTCCAGATGCTTCTCATAAAGCATTCAACTCAGAGTTAATTGTTTGAGGAATTAAGATTACAGTCGAGGTTTTTTGAAAACTTAAACATTTGGCGGTTTTCAGTTTGCCAGATAAAGTAAGGTTATGTCTAAAACATCACTTCCGTGAAGGTTTTGTTTCCTTTATTTTACTTGGCCTTGGCAGCTTTTGAAGTCAAAAGTTGATTTTTGAAGTCTAAGATTACTTTTCAGATCTCTTGTAAGTCAGTTCAAGAGACTGTAAATCAAATTCTGTGCTTTCCCCTACAACCTTGGGTGTTATTCTAAAGGTTTTATTTTGTGATGAGGGGAAGTAGTTATACTTACTTATAACAAGTCCCTATATCTGTATTCCAGACCATGGGCCTGTTTGCTACCACATCACACACAGAATGAATATTTGTTTATTTTGACCTTGTTCAGGTTGCTCAGAGTATAGTCAAAGTGACTTTTGAACACGGTGTTTTACTCAGTGGTTTACTGAGCCAGTCTCAGTCATGACAGTATCATCATCAACAGGTTCACAGTCGTGCCGTGCTTCTGTGTAAACTTTTGTGTCTTAAATAGCCACACTTCACTTTAAGTCATGGTATCATCAGTGTTCAGTTCAATCACTATTTGAGAGATCTTACATGTTGTTTAGAGGTTTATGTTTTTTCACCATGGAATCATTGTTACCATGTTTCCTTGGTGGTAGAACCTCAACACATCATTTAGTGGTACTGAAGTACTATATACTCGAGAGCTAGTGTACTCTTTGTTATAGACATGGTTTCGTTTGTCTTGACATGAGCTCTTCCAAACAAGAGATTCAGACTTACCTTTTTACGCATTGGTCAATTAATATTAACAGTGGCAATTTTTTCACACATATGTCTTGTCGTGATCAAATTTTGACCAATTTATTTTTGTAACAGTCTCATGATTTTAAGAATCACAGACATCCTCTGCTGACTGTTATACATATGATCTTTAACGGAAATCTCAGTTTTCCGTGTGGTTTTGGAGATATTTCTATACGAATTATCTTCAACTCCATCTATACTTTATCAAATAGTTTCATTTTTGAGACAGTACATTTTTTAAGATGTTGTTCTGAGTAGAACACTGAGTTAAGGAATCGTTCTGCCCTGAGACTAGTAATGTCACTACCCCCTTAATAGGACAAATATACATCTAAGGTTTATGATGTCAAGATTCCAAGTAATTAACAAGGCATTTTGGTGCCCTGTCACAGGAATGTTATTCTCAGGAACCACATAGTCATCGGTTCGATTCCTATTAGCTACTGTAGTTTAGTGCTGTTTGCCTATTCTATTTGGCAATTGAATAAGGCTTTTAACGTTGCTTTATTTTCCTCTGTACCATTCACATTTGAGGCAGATGGTGGTCAACCTCTTGAGGTGTTTAACAGAGGATTTCAATGCGAGAATAATTCTCGTTATATTTATACATGTTATATGGGAACGGTTCTTGATCACTTACTAGGTAGATGAAAGTTGCCCAAGAACATTTTTGTGTTCAAAGATGCAAATCGTAACGTAGTTGTCATATCCACGTTGCTTGACAACTAGACTTCCGTCAAAATCAGGGTTCATTTTCAACAAGAGAATGTGAAACACCTGTAGATTTTAAGGATGAGAAGCGTGATGGGGTTTTTAACACCTATATTGCAAGAAAGCAATATTGTGACATCTGACACTACAGTTCAATTGATGTGTAATACTATTAACTATTAGACATCAAGACGTCTCACTTGAATTGTTTGTTGCTTCTGATTCAAAGATTATTGATGTTTAGAACATCATAGTCTTATTAATGTGAGTTTGCATTCTAATGAGTTTATTTACTCATATTTTAGTGATAGTATACATGTTTGTTTATGACTAAACAGCAATATTAGAAGATACATGAAACGTATATCTTCCCCAGCAACTTTGTGGATAAATTGCAGGTGTTTCTTACCAAGAGACGCAGAGTTTTTATCACATTATATATGCGATAAGACTAGAATGCTACTGAATTACTTGGTAGTCGTCTTATTTACCTGTAATTGTTGTAAATCGAACTCTCTAATGATATTTCTATCATGATATCGTACAAGATTATGCTTTACTAGTCTAGTAAATTTTCTGATGTCAGCATATATCAGAGGAGGGTTTTCAGAACCAGTTCCTAAATGATCTTGTCCTGATAACTTCTTCTAGAGTCGAATGATTCTTTAAGATTTTGAGTTAGTGTTGTGAATCAGTTGAACGTATTCACTCTTAACCATTATAATCCCTTTCTTGGGTTTGTACCAAGATCTAGGATTGTATTCAGCAGGTATCATTTAGACATGCTTGGATACATGACTATCTAATTAACCGATTTTTTCAGAACGTGTTCGGTAATATGCAAGTTTTATTGTTGAATTGTAAACAACCAAGCATACTCGACTAATAAGGAGGGTGTACATGGGTTCTTCAATGATTGAACATGTGATCCTAATGGCAATGAGTAAATGATGAATCTCTACGTAGTTTATCATTCAGACACAGCTTAGCCTTTAAGGGTTACAATGCTTTGCAGAAGCACTTATACCAGATGTTTAATATTTAGTGTAATTTGGGATTTCGGAGTTATCACAATCCCAAGAATATTTAAACAACTGGTGTTCAAAGTTCGAATATCATAAAGAGTCCAACATATGGTAACCGATGTAGTACTTTGTCTCACCTTTACTCAAAAGAGAGAACGAAAAGTTTGCATTGATTTGAAGAACCAGATACATTTAAGGAACTTCAATAAAATTCCTTTAGATCTTTGGATCAAGCAATTATTAGCTGTTATCTATACATGTACAAGGTATACAGAAGTATACACATGTAGCTGTTAAAGAAGGGTCGAAAACGTTATGTCAAGACCAGTAACTACTTCTTCAATCTTTGTTTCTAGAAGTCGAGTGGAAGATATGTTTAAAGCAGGCACAATGGGCAGCTTAATTTACTTCCAAGTCATGTATGTAAGTCTAGGACTATGCAAGAAGATATTCTGACATTTTTCTTAACTTTATGGCCAATCAGAATGTCAGAATTTGTACTGTGGTATAAGTTCGTTGTTGACCTTTGGTGGTTGAATTACCCCGCCATAGATAGACGTCCGTTTTTTATCATAGTGGCCAATTGAGTCATATATGAAATAATACTCAGTAGTTTTTTAGCATAGTGAATCTGTATAATTAGTTTTGTTAGGTGTTTAACACAGTTTAAACATTTCACCCCAGAACTTGTATTTGGTTACTAAGTTCCTTAGTCCCGAAGGCTTTAGGATGTAAAGTTGGGTTACCTAAAGTTGTAGGGTTGATCAATTTGTAGTTTGTTGCAAATTTATTCTATTCCCGTGGTCTTTCTGCTGTTTAACCCACCGCCTACTTGGCTGGGATTCAGCACATAGTGGCAATATTAGTGTAAGTAGTTAAGGTTTGCGTAGTAAAATCTTAAAATTTAAAGTAATTTTAGTTTTTATTAGTAAACCATACTTACCTAATATTGCCACTACAAATATGTCCCTCCCTCCTCCTCCGCTTACAGCAGAATGTTCATAATTGTTATAGCGGAATAATTGAGGAATATCCGGGCATTTGTGCGGGGGTGCACAGTGTAATATGCTCAAGAAATTCCCGGGAAGTTGGCCATAGATAGATTCAATGGTGGATGTTAGCACATAGTGGCAATATTAGGTAAGTATGGTTTACTAATAAAAACTAAAATTACTTTAAATTTTAAGATTTTAAGCATTAAAAGCCCAGGGCTCAATGAATTGTGATTGATTTTAAGCAAGATTGTGTTGTATGAGACGGTAACCGGACAACTCATCCCCCAGACAACTCATCCCTGAAAAACTCATCCCCTAGACAACCCATCCCCTAGACAAATCATCCCTTAGAGAACCCATCCCCTAGAGAACTCATCCCCTAGACAACCCATCCCCTGGAAAACTCATCCCCTAGACAATTCATCCCTTAGACAACCCATCCCCTAGAAAACTCATCCCTTAGACAACCCATCCCCTAGAGAACTCATCCCCTAGACAATTCATCCAAGGGACAACTCATCCCCTATGAGTTGTCTAGGGGATGTGTTGTCCGTAAGCCTATAAGACTATGAGTGAGGGTGCGCATTAAATCACTCACAATTCATTGAGTCATATGCTTAAGTTATTTCAACACATAGTGAAATTGGACAATATCACTAAAATCATCTTAAATAATCTGTTCTAATTTTTTCATACCAAATAAGGAAACATCCCTGAATATGTCAAATCAATCCCTCATGTGAACTGCCTGGGGATGCACCGGCAAGACTTTGAACGTGAATCTTACAACGAAAAACCAACATGCCTAGGAACTGATCAGATTTTTAAAAGAACATCCTGGGAATTTCAAATGAATCCATACAATGGTTTGCCTGAAAACACATTGACAAGACATTGTAGATCATATTTTAAGATGAAATCCAGTATGGCTGCTTTAAAATGTACTCAGCAGAAGCATCATGAAAATTCAAAATCAAATAATTTAGCTGAAAGGTGTGAACAAGAATTTACACACATGATTTTAGGATGGAAAATCCAAAATGGCCACCTTATGATTTACCCAGCATGCTCAAAAACTAATCAGTTATATTTGTTATCATTCAATCAAATGGTTTGCCTAGAAATGAATGCATAGACAAGCTGATTTTGGGCCACCCACCACACACCCACCCTGCAAACTTATCACAATAAAAAAATGGTGACTCTAACAATATGTCACCATATCTTGGTGGTGCCATAATAAATCCCATTACTAATGTTTTATATATTACATTACACACAGTGATAAATATTGCAGTTTTTTGTCAAAAACTCAAAATGGCCACCAAGTAATTTACCCAGAATGCCCAGAACCTAACCAGATCTTGGCACTAATCTGCTCTTGCATTTGTAAAAATTTTAAGGCATTGACAAACAAAATGCCACCACCATCCATTTGTTACAGATGCCATTTGTTACACACACCAACCACCAAACACCTAACACCAATCACAAAAAGTTGGACCCTATAACAGACGGACGGGCGGACAGACAAGACAGGCGGACGTGCCTAGGCCGACAATATGGCCCCACACTATGTGGTGGGGACATAACTAGTGGTAGGGACATAACAATTTACCACTGAAAAATTGTGATAAATATATCCTTAAACATGCCTTACCTGTATCTGCTTCCTTACAGGTGTGGAGTAGCCATGAGATGTTGGTACAGCTGAAATAGTACAAATACGTTTTGTTATTTGAAATGTTAAAATCATTATATACTGTAATATCTACAATGTGGTAAGGGTATTTTACATAATATGGCCAAGACACATATCCCTGTGTCTCCCACTCCACTGTTTATTATTCTTTGTTTTTTATGAAATCAATAATTTGAAATTGAGAGAGCTGAAGAGGGTTACTTTTGATCTGGGTCAGTTTATTTTACAAATACACAAGATGGTAACAGGGGAACTGATTCATCATTAAAAGACAGATATTTTGAAATCATTATTAATGCGCTATTTTGATTTATCAAAAAGCGCAGTTTTCTCCTTGGGATTTTTCATATCTGTACTTACTAATTTTTTTATTTCTGTACTTAATAATTTTTTACTTCTGTACTTACTAATTTTCTACTTCTGTACTTTATAATTTTTTATTTCTGTACTTAATAATTTTCTATTTCTGTACTTACTAATTTTTTATTTCTGTTCTTAATAATTTTTTATTTCTGTACTTACTAATTTTTTATTTTCTGTACTTACTAATTTTCTATTTCTTTACTTAATAATTTTTTATTTCTGTACTTACTAATTTTTTTTATTTCTGTACTTAATAATTTTTTATTTCTGTACTTACTAATTTTCTACTTCTGTACTTAATAATTTTTTATTTCTGTACTTACTAATTTTTAAGTTCTGTTCTTTATAATTTTTTATTTCTGTACTTACTAATTTTCTACTTCTGTACTTAATAATTTTTTATTTCTGTACTTACTAATTTTTTATTTTTATACTTACTGATTTTCTACTTCTGTACATACCAATTTTCTACTTCTGTACTTACTAATTTTTTATTTCTGTACTTACTAATTTTCTATTTCTGTACTTACTAATTTTTTATTTCTGTTCTTAATAATTTTTTATTTCTGTACTTACTAATTTTTTATTTTCTGTACTTACTAATTTTCTATTTCTTTACTTAATAATTTTTTATTTCTGTACTTACTAATTTTTTTTATTTCTGTACTTAATAATTTTTTATTTCTGTACTTACTAATTTTCTACTTCTGTACTTAATAATTTTTTATTTCTGTACTTACTAATTTTTAAGTTCTGTTCTTTATAATTTTTTATTTCTGTACTTACTAATTTTCTACTTCTGTACTTAATAATTTTTTATTTCTGTACTTACTAATTTTTTATTTTTATACTTACTGATTTTCTACTTCTGTACATACCAATTTTCTACTTCTGTACTTACTAATTTTTTATTTCTGTACTTACTAATTTTTTTATTTCTGTACTTACTAATTTTCTACTTCTGTACTTAATAATTTTTTTATTTCTGTAGTAATTTCTTAATTCTATACTTACTAATTGTATGGGGTGAGGCTTGGTGGGAGAGAAGGGGACAACTCTTTGATCCATCACGGCGCCTGAAATTATGACAATCATTTACTGTTAAAAACATGGAGAATGGAGAAATAAAAGAAAATTATGTGGAAATGAGATTTCATTTAAAATCAAGAATATGGTCAATAATACATACACACACATGCATATAAGAAAAGCATGGGAATGGATTTCTAAATTTCTAGATATACAAGGGCCGATCCAGAAGTTCTGATAAGAAAGCTCTAAACTTAAAAGTTTATCATTCATTTTCCACAATATTTTCAGAGTAACTGGGTCATTTATTCCCTCATTAGATATAAAAAATTTGATGCTGGTAATGAATATTTCTACTTTTGTACTTGGTTCAGTTTAGTTCTACCAAAGAGTTCACTCACAATGAAGCACTGGGCCCTGGACTGACATTCATAGGTGAGATGTGTCCCCTCTTGTCTCTCTCTATAGAGATATTGCCTGCACTCCTGAAATCGAACACCATTACAATGAGATGCTTTACAATTCAAAATCAGTTAAGTTCTCATCAATGTTATTTCATTTTGACATTTATCCTATTAAGCCTATTCGACAAAAGCTCCCTTTTATTTCTAGTTTCATAATTTACAATAAATTCTCAATATTTTCAATTTCATATATTTACCCTCTGAAATGTTCTATCTGCTGTAAAAGAGAATTTCAAAAATCCAAACCTTACCCAAGGAGTTTTTGCATTTGTGGTGATGGGGTCCTACTTGATTGTGGAATCACACCTGAATAAAAAAAAAAAAATTAAAATCTCTTTAATGCATTTCAACAAAAGCTTTACTAAATAGGTCTTAATGTACCAATGGTGTTCCCTTTGGAAAACTGGTAACTTGTAACTGTAACAGGTAAGACCTCAAATGAGAATATGGTCTCTGCGACTTTTACACCATTTTTATTCTTAGACTGAAACTGCCATGACAGATAACATTATTGAATGTTTATCTCTAAAATGAAAATTAAATTTTGTCATACATTAAAATGCCAAAACAGGCAAATTTAAACAACTAGCATATCAATGCCTTTTTATTTGGAATATTATGTGGTTGTCAAACTCAAGATGATTGCTTACAAGAAAATAACTTATGAAGAATAACACAACTGAAAATAAGAAAAATTCAAGCTAACATCAAACATATAACATGGTATTAACATGAAAAAAATGTCACCACCTTGTAAATTATTACAGATACAGTAAAACCTGTATTAGTGAACACCTCTCTCTCTAGTGAACACCTGTCTCTAGTGAACACCCTTCCTAAGCAAATTCTCTACTGACTTCGGTATAAATTACCCTCTCTGTAGTGAACATCTACCAACATAGAACATTTTTTGGCAAAAAAATGTTCAATATACACAGGTTTTACTGTAGTTACAAAAGTGTAACATTTTGTTGTAGACGTCGTGCACATAGACCACCAATGCTCAATTCTGGTCACAAAAATGGTGCTTTTAATTTATGGTATATCAACACTTCGCACATGGTGGGGACATGATTACGTGCACTGAATAAAGCACTAACTCAATAAAGCAATCAGTCATTACAAAGTACAATACCACACCCATTCTTCCATGTGATGGAGGCCCTCTAATTGTAATCCTATTGCTACCACTGGGTGTTCTGGGCTGTGTAAACTAAAATAAAGGGCTCACCATAAATAAATGACACCTGGGTGTTCTGGGCTGTGTAAACTAAAATACATATAGACATCATATCATTTATCTATTTTTGCACCATCGAGAAACCATTTGTAAGGGAAGATTTTTTTTTCGATTTAACGATGTTCCTAAGATTCAAAATTTAAGATTTTTAATGACTATGTAAAATATTACCTGACTAGCAAGTTTCTCATTTGAATAAGGCCTGAAATGAAATTGAGAAACAAAATTTAATTTTCTATCAAGCTTCAGAGAGCTGTCCTTGATAGAATGAAGTAACTGATGAATACCCTTTAAAAGATTAAATTATAAATATAGAGTTGTTTGTATTTCTTCTGAACAGTATAATTTTAAGTTTTGAAAGCTTGAATATAACTTGAAATGCAGAATTCATGGATTCCGAAAAATGTCAAAGAGGAAAAGAAAAAAGGTTGTGTAGTTTTTATGTAAAAATGTTACTCACGACCTAGCTCTATTGGCCCTCTGGTTAAAGGGAGAGTTGTTTCCCTGGGGGGAGGGAGTCTTCCCCGACAGAGGCCTTTGTGTTGATGTGGGGGTGCCCATCATGGACCCTCTCATGCCACCAGGGGTACCTGGGCCACCACCTCCCTTGTTAAATAAACATATGATGCTATACACATCAAAATATTCTCATGTTGAAGATTTAGCAAAGAATAATACAATGTAACAATATGTAGGTCAAGCAGGCCCGTAGCCAGGGGGTTTGGCCAAAAATTCCTTAAAAACCATGCAGTTTTTCACCATTCTGTCTACTTTTCCAGTAATATTGGGCCAAAGATGTCAAATGTGAACTCCCCTGGAATTTAATGTGAACCCCTTGGCAAAAGCTGTCAAGTATACAGCTCAAAGCCCAAAGGGTTTTCAGTTTTGAAAAAATTCCAGGGGGGGTTCAAATTTTACAATTTGCCACAAAATCACTTGGAGAGAGTGCTCAAAATGGTGAAAAACTGCATGCCGGGTGGGGGGGGGTTCTGATCAAAATATTTAGATTTTGACAATTTTTACTCAATTGGGTTGTATGCATTATTAGTATTCAGTACTTACTCTTCCACTCTGGATTAACCTCTTTAAGTACTGGTTCTCCTCTCTTAAAGCCTTCATCTCTCTGCAAATAAATTAGTGACACATAAGTTTACATTATAGCACAATTTTACAGATTTGAAAATTAGTGAAATAAATAAATGGGTATATTATATATAATTTATGAGTTAATCAATACATCATTTTTTAGACTAAGAAATATGGCAAATATCAAAATAGTTACTTCAAGTATAGCATGCCATCTATTTTGGTGTAACATTAATATAATACAGTTGTGAACATGATATAACATGGTGAATACAAGATATATGATATGTTGAATTCACAAATGTGCAATTTTACAATTTAAAGAAATAGATGAAGAATTGATACGGCACTGTGGATTCAACATATCAACTATAGATGACACTTTGATAAATACCTTACTTTAATGAATAATTCACGTACGTCGTACCTATCTACATCTTGTCCCATTGTTTTCTTGCTATTTTCAATAATAGATTTTTGTCTTGTGACCTGAAATCATGATTTAAAATTATAATTTTCTCCAGATTGTTTTTGCGGAACAGAGTGAATGTATAGAGATTAGATTAGTTTATTAAATATATTTGAGTTGCAAATAGGTTGATTGACTTGTTGGTGCTCTTCAAATGAGGAGTGAAAATATAATGTTCTTTCATAATTGCAAAGAAATGAAAATATATGCTGTTTATGTGGCGAATTGAGCTGTTAAAAAGTAAGATTTTCTCATTCTAGATATTTGTTCCGTGTTCCAAACCAAGAGTCTAACTCCGCAAATCATAATGAAATCGGGTATCCATGACAACTCTAGTTACCCACTGCAAACACCAACACTGAATGCCAAATGTTGAAATGAAAGAAATGATGATTACAAAATTACAACAGTGTGTCACCACTTCTTGGTGGTTACATAAAAATATCAAAAAACAATACTTTTTCTCTGATGTAAGATGTGAGTCTTTGTCTGTGGTTTTTCTGGAAGTCCATTACTTGCATCAGTTGTTTCTGATGCCTCTTCATCAGCTCTACAGGGTCAGTGAAGAATAACTCTACATCAGGCGCCATCTTTAAAACACATATGCTGTATGCAAATACATCATTTTGTCATTGGTTTCTAAATCTGATACCTGTTTTCAGTGCTATAGAAGGGCAAAGAGGGGGAGAAACCCCAGTGTTCAAAGATCACATATGCTTATAATGTAAATCTGTATTGAGATGACATCGTCGCTGATTGGTTAAGCGAGTCGATCGTTGATTGGTTTAAAACTAGGTCAATTTGAAAACTTTGAACAATTGAATCATGGGGTTTTCCCTCCTCTTAGAAGGGCAAACACAATACTTAAACATGTAATGCCTCATTCATAAAATTACTGTTTCTTTGAATTCTCATACTCTCATAATTCTTTTACTGTAAATTGGTCGATCAACCAATAGATAGAGTAGTATGCAGATCATCAAACATATGTTTCATTTGGTGTAAATGAGTAATGCATTAGTTAAGCACACTGAAGAATTACTTCCTAAGGCTCAATTAACCATTTAATACATGGGATAGCTCCATATGCATCATAATGTAATCATATGGATCAAAGTAATAAACTGTAGCAGTCCATTTAATTAAAACTCAAATTGACAATAATGAACATACAATACATAATTGAAGCTTAATGTAATTTTAGCTCAATGTAAAAACAAGAAACAAACTCACCTTTCCCGTGAGTGCAACTTTTGTACATGGATTACCACACATCGAACATTTCTCACTTGTACCTTTAAACATAACAAGTTTACATGACATTCATATACATTATCATCATTTCTAAAATAGAATTTGTTAATAAAAGCTTGTGGATAAAGTTTGTCAAGGTAGCCATGTTTTGGCTTAATTATTCCCCAATGATTCAATTACTTACTTCTCTCCCGAATGATTTACTTTTCCAATTATAAAGTCATCAAGGCCATTAAAAACGCAAATGCCATATACACAGTTCCAAATAGTTTTCATTACTGTAAAGTAGGGCAAAGTTACCTTGGCAACTCCAATAACAAGGCATTACATGACAAAATATCACCACCAGTTATTGTAAGTTGTGACAATTAGTAAGAGACACTGAACCCAGGCCATCAAATGCCGACCACCGACCACCATCCACAAAAAAGTTGGAGACAATAACAATATTTAAACACTGGTGACGTAAAAAGCTGTTCAATAGAGTTGCTGTTACTATTGTTTCATACCAGAAAAAGGCTCACGAGAGATTTCTGTATCAAAGATACCATTAGGCTCAGAAGATAGTAGAAATTACTATCCTCTTAATAGGACAATTACAGATATATTTTGATGCAGATAAGTTTCTTTATCCCAAAAGTATCAGCCATTGCTTTGAAACTCACTTTTAAAGAGGTTTAACTTTAAGGTTTTTAATAACTTACATTGCTCAGAGCAGATCTCACAGAACATGTGCCCACAATTAGTCAGATAGAAAGTTCTTCCATTGCTGCCAGGCTGTATGAAACAGTTGTTACAATGCACCCACTCAGCCATTGCCTGAAAAAACAGTTGTTACAATGCACCAACTCAGCCATCGCTGAAAAAACAGTTGTTATAATGCACCCACTCAGCCATTGCCTGAAAAAACAGTTGTTACAATGCACCCACTCAGCCATTTCCATGAAAAAACTGTCGTTACAATGCATCCACTCAACCATTGCCTGAAAAAAAAATTGTTACAATGCACCCACTCAGCCATTTCCATGAAAAAACTGTCGTTACAATGCATCCACTCAACCATTGCCTGAAAAACAGTTGTTACAATGCACTCACTCAGCCATTACATCTGAAAAAGCAATTGATACCACTCAGCCACTGGTTGAAAAAAGCAGAAGCAAGACAGATAGGAATTTCTACTTGGTATGAAGTTGATAGAGGTAAGAGGGGAGTTGAATTTCCTAGAGTTCCCATTGAACTCCTACTAGATATTCTTAAAGAAGACAATGTAATGATACTTTCATGAAAAAAGCAAGGCAATTGACACATGTCTTCATATTTTATTTTGTACCAGAAAATAACATGTGCTGGTAGCAATTTTTTACCAAAATGTTACTTTCCAGCTGTACCTTAGGGGGGGGGGGGGTAATAATATAGGGGGAAATAATAATTGAAACATTCAGTCATATAATGTATAAAACAGTTGTTACAGTGTGAACAATCTCTCAGTCTCATGAATGGAATGAGTAAAATGTGATGAAGTATCTTGGCTATTTTTTAACATCACAATTCACGACAAAAAATTCCAATTTCTTTCAATCAATCCTATTTTGTAAGCTAAAGGCGTTAAACTAAAGACATGCGATTCATTCAAATGCCAAGAGTATGTGTCAAAATAATGCACTTTCAAAATACTTACTCTTGTTAACAATAAACGCGAGTTAAGTTCCAAAATTGGAAATTGCCCAACGATGTGTCAACTTTTCAAACAACTAACTTCTCCCGCCAAATCTCTTTAAAAATTCTATCATGAACAACCCCAATTCAAATTTAAAAACACAACGAATATGGATTGTATCAATGCTTTTGTGGGTGTTTTATGTTTAATTAAGAAACAGAGTTATTTTAAGTCAATGTTTCATCGATTCTGATGAGTAATATACATTTCTTTCCCAGAAAGTGTACTCTTTAAAAGTGATCCGAAATCTTTCATCTGGCGTAAAAGTGAATGACCTTGCCGCCATTCCTGACTGATTTCGGAAGTTCTGCTCGAGTTTTCTGGAGTTTTCTAAGTTATTATACGGAATATTGAAACAATCGGATACAAAAGATATAATAAAATACAATTTCAATATACAGCGCAGACATTTATGTAGGTAATTGACCTCCATGGCGGTTAGATTTACTGTAACGAAGGCGGAAAATGATCCGATCGGCGAAAGTAGCAGCGACGGTCCTGCCATAGGTTATGGCAGTGTAAACAAAGATAACGGGAATGTTCCTGAGGTGAAAATAGTCGACTATGGTGACGCCAAATACGGTAAGTGTGTTTTAGAATATATATTTCTTAATATTTGCCATTTAGTCTCTGAAAGGGATACCTAGACACTTGACATTCCATGGAGAATTCTGTGTTGAAATTTCCACAAATTCATGACTCACTTCTGATTTCTCAATGGAAGTGTATTTTAGTAGCCCTTTAGTTGTTGTAAATTACATGTTAGATTGACAAGTGGAAGCAGCTTGGAGACAACTGATTTATCAGTCAATTTTCAACCACTTGTAGTTAGTTACTAAATTACTATAATTGATAAGTAAAAAGGGGGGGGGGGCATTCCATATGTCAAGACAGAGGGCGGCATATAATTCTGCTCAAGACCAACCCGGGAGTAGCTGTTATGAAAAATAATTGAACCTCAATCTGTGAAACATCAATGAACATGTAAACCAGAAGTATCCGCTGCTGCTAAATAAGTCCCTAGCATCGGTTGTAGCTGACTTCACACTCCCCTTGATCATAATAATAATACTGACTTAATACTAATTAGAGGCATAACCTTACAGAAACACTGTCATTAGAATACGACAATAGGGCAAAGTTTTACTTATTCTGCTCTGACTAGCTTTGATACCCAATAAACATAATACGGGAACCCGCCTTTTTGAGATTCTATGAAGGTATTTAGTTGAGTAAAATAAACCCTTTGTATGGTACCAAAGAATTTTTATTTGCAAAAATTGTTGTGTAAATAACAGTTATCCTTATAAAGTATTTACCATTAAACATTATCGATATTTCTTTCATATAGTAATAGAATTGATCAAGGTGTATTATGAAGTTTAATTGATGTTTTTAGAGATCCAATATACCTTCAATTCTTTTTTATGAGATTTGAACCGAGAACCACTGATACTCCAAATAGTACCAAATGTAATCTCATCATATCTTATTGAATTAAATTAAAGTGTCAACATTTAATATGTCATTAAAATATACTGCAAACCACATGTAAATATAGAACTGAATCATTTGACTCATCAGCATCCTACTCCATTTTTCCTATGTTTGTTTGATATGTCTATTTACAGTCATGTAATTTTTGAAATTTTAAGTTCATGGCTGGTTTTACAGATCTTTTTAAGCCATGAATGGCTAGATTCATATTGCTCCAGCTTTGATTTTAACATAAAATACTTTAATTGGGATGGATTTTCATTGACATTCAACTTTTTTGCAGAATTATGTCATCTTTGCCAAATGTGAATGTCTGATTAACCTATGTGTTGCTTGATATAATAAACCTGATATAGTATATACATGTACTTTAACACCCCAGTCACATTTCCTAGGACAACCATTCTGTCTATCATTTCTGCGGTCAGTAACATTTTTACGCTGTTAAACTTCACAAAGTTATATCCCAAACCAGGTAATGATATTATTAGCATTGTGTTGGTAATTAACTGATGATATTGTGGGTTAGAACTTTGGAATCTTGATGGCAGTTCAGCATGTCGATTCGAGATTTCAGTTTTATGGCAGTTTGACATTATATTAGATGAGTTTTGCAGTCTTTTTGCTGTTCTGTTATTCATTTCCCGATTAATCTCAGCATGCAAAAATGTGTGAAAGAATGGAAATCAATGTCAAGAGTTCTCTCTGTAGCAGGTCTTTCACTAAAAGGAGATGCCCTCCAATCAATAATAATATTCTTAACCTCAATGTATAAATAGATTTAAGCCATTTATCTGCTCTATTGAATAGATTTTTAAAGATATTGATAATTTGATTTATATTTAGTAAAATTAAATATATACACTACATTCCTTTAGTGTTAAGTAAGTTATCAGCGGTCAACCTAGTTAGGTATGGAGGAATTTAGATCTGTCTATTTAAATAAAAGATTAATTTGGTCTATTTTTATTTACTTATTTACCTTACTTGCCAAAACATATGCTCTAATTGGTTAATATTCAATATGTTGTAATGATATTCAAATTTATTTGTTTATTAATTCAGTATTGTTTGGTTGATGAAGTGTTATCATGACTTTGATAAATAATACAGGTACTACTGTAGTTTTTAAGAGGCACATCATGAAGTTAAGAGGGGATTCCTAGGCTCTGAGGAGATGTTTATTTATTGATAGTAAATTCAGTAACTAATTGAATATTATCTTCGAACATGGATCACTTAGTTCTTACTTATCTCAAGATTCAAGAATATAAAGTAAACTAAGTCTATATTTTGAATATTTCAGAAGTGTCATTGAATTATAAATGTGCAAAAATGTCTTTGATTTGACGATTTAATGATAAGATTGAAACTACATGTGAAGTCTATGTTCATTTTATCAATAGCATTTTGTACACTAATTGAATATACATAATAGCACATTTATGCATTGGTCAAGAAGACATACATAAAAGATATATATTCTAGTTTTCTAGTTCAATATTATAAGGAAAAATTCTTCTAAAATTAAATTATTTTCATATTGTTTTCACTGCTATATGTCTTCATTTCCCTTTTTAGCACTATAATTAGTGAAAAATGTCGTAATTCCCAGTGGCAATTTCCTGTAAATAATCTATCTTGATGCCTAATGAAGTATCTTAGGATAGATTCGCATGATGTGCTTTCCATAATTATAATCACCAATGATAGATGAAATAGGTGATATTTATCATATTTTTATCTGTACGAGTTATATTGTAGAATGTAACGTTCAAAGTCAAATTTTTTTTGTGAAATCATGGAACTACTAAGATAAGGAAAATCTTTTTCGTTCTTATTGAAACTTGAGTCAAGTAGAAGTACATTAGGTACTTACATGTTATTGTGACCTTCTGATGCCAATAGCATGTAAACATAATAAACAGACCAAAGTAAAATAGATAGAATTGTATATTAGAGTAAAAAAATGGGTCTTTGGGACCTTAATATGCAAAGCTTAAAGCAATGTACAGTGAAAGCTGTCTAAGTGAACACCTCTCTTTAGAGAACACCATATTTAGTAAATACAGTATTACTTCAAGGCACATTTTGCATTGACTTCTATATCAAAAACCCTCTCTGTAGTGAACACCTACCTCCAGTGAACACTCTTTGTGGCTCTATAGGCGTTCTCTATATACAGGTTTTACTGTATAGCAATATGCTAACTCACCTTTGTAATTACATGTATTATGTTAGGGTAAGGTGAACTGAAATAAAGTCTTTGCACCTGAGCTGAAACAGGTGAGCCTTGATGTTATTGCACCTACCTGCTCACCTTTAGAATAAGAATATTATTCCATTCTAAAAGAGGAATACATGCATCTCTTTCACCTTATATTTCCGTGTTGCAGAGGTTTATTTAATGGGGAATGCAGCGTACATTCTCTATTAAAATAGGAATACACATATTTAAAAGAAGATAAGCAAAAGAGCCTAGTATTGCCCGGGTCACATTTGCTCCAATCCATTGGCCGGGCTGACACCCGGCCGATTGAGTGTTTTGTTAAATGTTGTATTTAATTTTGAACAAAATAATCGGCCAGGCGCCTGAAAATCGGAGCAAATGTGACCAAGGCATTAATGGGGTAGATGAGTTTCCTTTAAAAGAACAAATCAAACTATATATATTTGAAAAGGCATGAATATGGTAACATTTTAAAACTCATTTGTATTTGTTTGCACCTGGCATCCAGGGATGTTAACAGTTATGTCAGAAAAGGTTTAAAAAGTTAATATGATACAGAACTTGTTTTTTGGCCTATTTTTGGCCTACTTTGAAATCTAAAACAATTTCAGCGTTTTTTTCAAAATTTGTTTTCCAAAATTTATATATATGATTGATTTGTTGCATATTTGAAATGTTTTGACAGAAATTTTAACTTGCAATGCTTCCATTGAGATGAGAAAATATATCAGTCCTAAGACCCATTTAAGAGGATTGGTAAGATCTTGTGTTCTCTCATCTACACAGTCTAATACCAGATACACAGCAGCATATGCAGAGATGGATCCGAAAAACAATAAGCCAATAAGGGGGGCAAATTTCAGGACAGAAAAATCGTTTGGGCAAAAAGCCAAAAATTGGCCCAAAATTTTGAAAATTTAAGGCCCATGTTTTTGATAATGTGAGCTAAAATTAAAAAAACAGGGTCCCAAAAAGCCCAGTTATGCCCAAGAAGGTGCAAAAAAAATTTGGCATTTTTTCTGGGCCCACCTTAAAGTCCCGTATGATTTCAATATACAAGCATTTGTGGCCTTGTTGGTGTGATTTGAAAATTCAAACTCAACCCCACATTTATGGTACTTTATATACAAGAGACTGGTTTGAATTCACTCTCTTTCTGAAGTAAACCAGTAATGTAAATACCAGTAAGACAACATTCTTATCACAAATACAAACAAAGTAATGTGTTATCATTACTCATTTATCATAATGGATAATATTATATATGGACAAAGCTCAAGTAGAAATAAATGTTGTTTTTCTATTATTAAATTAATTGGCAATTTATATTATGACATTTACATGTCTTGATATATTTTAATGTTAACTTGTCTTATGTTAGAATATTGAACTTCTGTATTAATATAGTTATACCAATATCGGTGGGCATTTGCAACAGTGTTTGGCATCTGTAACAGTTTTTGGTGTCTGTAACAAATGGCAGGTAGTGACATTTTGCATTTAAATGCCTTGTTTTATTTAGATGAAATAAAAACAAACTACTTTCTGTCATTTATTTAATAATATATGTTATTAAATAATTGAGATTATTTCTAATCATTTGCCTTTACATAGATCTACATTATTTTTCAATTTCTTATCAATATTGCAAGTTCGATTATATCAGTACATGTTGCCCTCATTGAACATGGGTAACTAATGTAAGATCAGCTGTTAAAAAAACAACTCATAGATAAAACTTACAAGTCAGTCTCATATCCAACCCAAGAAGTAGTTCACATGAGTACATGTTTCATATATTATTCTTGCCATGATATCAAGTTCTGGTTATTAGGGATTGAAAAGGATTTAGACT